ATCTAAGGAGGAGCTCAAGGCAGAGCAAAGTAAAAATTGAAGAGCTGGCTGAGCTTCTTTGCTGGGAGAAGAAGTACGAGAAAGGAGATATTGCCATCTGGAGAAAAAAAGTGAATGCCGAATCCTGCCAAAGAAAGCCTGACAGGATTTGTGAATCTAGTAAGGCTGATGATGTCTGGTGAGTTACTATGCAGCCCGTTTTGATTTAACTTCCTTGTAGAATATGCGCTATGGGTTCCTTGAAGAAAGTTTGGTAGTGTTAAAGTACAAATACTGAAGTTACACCCTCTTCAACATTGTAAGCTTTTGGAGTAAATAGTTGTTTAATATGGTATTAGAACAAGAAGTACTGTGATTGAATCTCGCCACCCTAATTATTAAACTATTTTCAGGTGCTAGACCCAAAATCTAACCGGCGCGAGGGGTATGTTGAAGTATAAATACTTCAATTATACGCTCTCCAACAATTTAAGCTTTTTGGAGTAGATGGTTGTTTAACAGTTAGGTTTCTTGAATTAGGCGCAATGCCGTCCAGCAATATTTTGTCATAAATGGATTCATTGTTTTGCTTCTATGATTCAGAACCAATCATTTCTGCCAGAAGTAGTTGAACATAACAAGAAGCATGACTTTACGAGCTGCTGCACGGAATAACGCATTAGTAGGAAATTCTAGGGCCTCAGTAGGATACTTTGTTTCTAAGCTTGTGGGCACATGCTTATGCCTGGAAAAAACTCATTCCATTGACTCTGTTTTGATGTATGTTTGATATGTATCCAAGTATATATCACCTCATTGTGTCTGTTTTTGGTGAAATATTGCTCTTTGGAGAATTTTTGTTCATATTTGACTATTTGAAATAGACAATTACCATGTGGACATATGTTTGATCACATTAGATCATGCAGAAAGAGAAGAATACTCAATACTCATTTTATTTTCTACAAAGATGATGTGGTAAATATTTTAAAATGTATGGCACGTGGTAAACCATTAAGCATTTCACTTTGGGTTTGTGGTAACATTAAATTAGAACCCATGATAATTCAACCAGTCCCTCATCTGTCAATGCTGATATGCAAGACCTAGTATTCAATAATTATTTTTGTTGTGCTGAATGCTTTCTGGTAGAGCATCCAACCAAAACCAATTGGCAATGGATGGGAGTGACTCCTCAAGTATATAAGCCAAACTTGGTGGTCCTAATTATTCGATATGGGATACAAACTCTCTTAACACTTCCTGTTGGCTTTTCACAAATTTAGATTTCTATTGTCACATTTCCAGGAGTTGTATGAATTCCTTAATGAAGATGCTGGATTGGATTAGACATATAACTACTCTGGTATAAGATAAGAAGCTGCTATGAACTTGTGTTAGTTTGCATCATTACTATGAGTTTTGGCTCTTTCAGCTTATAAAGTTTATTTGCTTTCTGATATTTCTTTGCTTATCTCACTTTTGGTGGATTGTAGGTACAAGAAAATGGACGCGTGCATAACTCCCTTACCTGAGGTTGCGAGTGCCAATGAAGTAGCAGGTGGGGAATTGATGAAGTTTCCAGAGAGGCTATTCGCAATTCCTCCCCGAGTAGCTAAGGAACTTGTTCCAGGGGTCACTGTTGAATCTTACCAAGAGGACAATAAATTATGGAAAAAGCATGTAGATGCTTACAAGAGGATCATTAGGCTATTTGGCACTACAAGATACCGGAATGTAATGGATATGAATGCAGGCCTTGGAGGATTTGCGGCAGCACTTGAATCACCAAGATCATGGGTGATGAATGTTGTGCCAACTATTGCTCAGAACACTTTAGGCGTTATCTATGAGAGAGGTCTAATTGGTATATATCACGACTGGTACGTCCTGCTAGATTTTCTCTATTCCTGATATTAAAAGTAGGCTAGTTTCACATGCTTTTCCTCTGCCATTTTGATCTTGGACCGTATTGTTTAGCACGTTGGAGTAGTCGAATACCTTTCTTCTTTGATATGTTTTTGTTATGTGGTTAAGGATAAATGTGGCATATATTGTGTTACATGTTTCACACATTTTTGCTACCTGAGGATGTTTTTTTCCCTGTTATTCAACGTGGGACTGATGGGGGCTAATTTATGATTTTCCTATATCTGAATTGCAAGTTTGTGAGGCTGCTTTTGCTTTGGTAAAGATGTCTGGAAATATGGAAAAGGCTCTTATCACATTTATTTTGTTCACGATATCAAAAATAACCTAAGAAATAGTTCAAGTTGATCCTGTTCTACTTCTATTTCTCATGTCACAGTGGGTTCTGAAGATGGAATTTTAGTTTGTGGAATCTCGTTGGATTCTTCATTTTGTAATCTTAATGAAATTTGTGCTTCCTGTGTTTTTTCAGGTGTGAAGGCTTCTCTACTTACCCAAGGACCTATGACCTCATTCATGCCAGTGGTATGTTCAGCTTGTACCAGAACACGTAAGCTTCTTGTTCCTCAACTCAAATGTCATATAGTGGAAGCTGACCATTTTTACATCATAGATTGCAAATTTTCTGGAACCAAACTCCATTAGCAACAGTTTTAGTTTCCGGAAAGTACCAGAATTGCATTAAGGGAGAAGCTTCAAGCCACTAAAGAAAGCCATTAAACTCTCCAAACTTAATTTGCTTTCCTGAAGTTGCTTTTTTGCTCAAAATATTTTTGTAAAAGTTTCTATCGTCTATTCCTGGATAAAATGTGAAAAACAAACCGCCATAACCCTAATTTGATAGGTCAAACTTTTTGTTTGGAAATTTTTCGACCAAGTTTTGTGGGTTTTCGACATCATCACCAAAATGATCTTATTTTTGTAAATTCTAATTTTGTATAGTTGTTTAATATCTGTCCCAATAAAGTTAAGCAATATGTTATACAAATACTGTGAATCACCAAAGGTTTAAGGACTAAAACAAAGCGACAATATGTTTTTAACTTTTGCTGTGGTCTGTGTTAGAAATTTTAGGTATTCACGACTTGTCAAGTCTTATAACATCTCTGTGACTAAACAGGTGTGAATTAGAAGATATCCTTCTAGAGATGGATCGTATTTTGCGACCTGAAGGTACAGTCATTTTCCGAGATGGGGTTGACATCCTAAACCGAGTGAGGAAAGTTACTAGAGGCATGAGATGGGAGACAAAAATTATGGATCACGAAGACGGCCCCCTAGTACCTGAGAAGATACTAATTGCTGTCAAACAATATTGGGTAGGCAGCAGTGGGAACAGTACATCTGCTGTTGAATAAACCATGACATTGTATGGGAAGTGAGTAAAATTACTTCATGTTGGAAATTTATCTGTCCCGGGTGCGATAAAAAGATTTCGATCCCTCAAAGGTGTTTATTTAAGTTTATTCATGAACTGTCATTGTTGACGTAATGCAGTTACAAATTTTATTCTAGACAGTGTTCCTGGATATAAGTCTGGAGAAAATGGCAAAAACAAGGCCCTTCTCTCCCAGTTAATCAAGCAAAGGACTTTTAATGGTGGTAGTAATAAGCAACTGGTGATATTCTTTTGTTTTTGATTGTGTACAAGGTGGATATTTTAGCTGTGCTTTAGTGCCTTGAAAGGTCTCTTTTTATTCAGTCCTCTTTTTCTTGTTCCTTGTTTTGTTATTAGATACTATGTGGCAAATTGTTCTCTATATTATCAAGTAGCATGACTATCCATAATTGGCATGTCAGACTCTCTAAGATTGGGGACTGTTATGGTACCAAAATATACTTTTGGAAATTGTACCTCTACATTATAGTCAATGAAAACACGCCACGTGTGCATTTTTTGTTATTTTGTTATTATTATTTTTTCAATCAATGACGGTAAATCATCTAATTCGAAATCAATAGTCCAAAGTAAATAAACATATTATTTGTTTCAATTTTAATATGATGTAATTTTAACTTGATACAAAATAACACGGCTCTAATATGATTCAAATCCAAAATAATACAATTTGAACGACTTTAGAGCGCATGTCCTGTAGTTTCTTAGCTTTAAAAAAAGCCTACACTTGTAGATTTTTAGTAGGCTCGGGAGAGAGAGTTTACTCAAGCAATAGCAGTAAGTATAGTAGAAGCGAGTTTGAACTACCACGAAAGTAAGTAAGCAAGGAATGTGTGATCAAGGTTGTCGCAATGTGGTTCGGAAGCTTCCAATGATTGAGGGGGCCTCCTCATCCCGATCAAAGTTGAGAACCATGGTTGGTATTTCATATGGTCTTCTACTTTGACTGACCCCATTGTCCTTTGACAGTTTGTTTATGTCTGGAATGGCTGTTGGAACATTTCCCCTTACAACCAAACAGAAAAAATTGTATACATTCTCCCACCATTAATGGCGAAGAGTCTTTCCCCTTTGTCAACCAAACCAGCAGCATCTCACGTGCTAACGACAACTACTACTTGTTTTAGAAGATGAAATTACACTCGTTTCTCTACAGGTGATAATATATTATGTTTAGGGGGTTAATCGAGATAAATTATTTGAATTTGGTTTAGATAAAATTCGGCTCGAGTTTGACTCGTACTCTAAACGAGTTAAGTTAGAATAATTTTTTAGGCTAGTTTATATATAAAATAATCGAACTCAAGTTCTAAACAAGCCTAACTTGAACAATATTTTAGGCTCATTTAAAAAATAAACTTGTTAGGCTCGGGTTAAACTCGTAAACCTCGACTCAATTAACACCCTTAATTATGTTAACTCTAAGGTGCGACTCTAGTGGTAATAGAAACAAACTGTAAGTTCAGACGTTTTAAATTCAAATTTTAACAATTTTTTTGGCCTAAGTTATGAAACAATTATTACTCATGAATACTTTACTCCCGGTATGGATGACCTGTCTTTGATTGGACTGGAGAGATAATTAGTCGAAGTGCACATAAATTAATCCGGACACCACATATTATTTATTTTTTAAATGAGATTAATATTAAACTTATACACGATTACAATATGTCAATTTGAATGGTGGGTGGTGTTAGTGCTTTGGACGTTTTTTTGAATTAAAAAAACACATCTATGTATGAAATCATGATAATATATTAAAAAGAAAATTCGGCTTCCCGCAGTCCTAATCCCCGTTTGCCGACTCTCGGCCGTCCCAGATTACTTGGCATATTTGATGTTCTGACACGTGTCCATGTATAAGTGGCTCCTTAATTTGTATGTTTCAAATTAAAGTATTTCCTATTTAACAAACTGAAAACTGTAGAGTTTGGGTGAGTGTGGAAGTCATGGCCTGTGTCTTTGCCCGTTAACCCATGGGGCAATGGGTAGAATTGACCCGCAATGCCATATCATTATAGTCCAGTGAGTAGAATCGTGGATCAATGGTTTTGCCCCGTCAAGTTTGATGTACTTGTTCTGATGGCTATGCTAGTGCTAGGTGTGCAACTCGGGGGTTGGACTGGTTGAAAGGTTAAACCTACTTTAACCTTAAGTATATAATTCACAATTCTTCTTAACTCTAACCTTAATTTAACTCGAAATATTTAATCTGAGTATTGTCCAAGTTTAATTCGGGTAGACTTGGGTTGAATTCGGATTACGTAATTCAAACAAATTTCAGGTTAAAATTCGAATTCAGTTCGAATTACGTAATTCAGGTTAGAATTTGAGTTGAGTTCATCGAGTTTGAAATCTGTCTGTTGTTTTAAACTTGGTACATACTATATAGTATTTACCTAAAATAACAATAAATAATTTCAATCAAATGTTTAACATAAAAAATATAGTATTTAAAACATAAAAATTAATGTTTAACATAAAGACACAATAACTAAATGTTTAACAAAAGACTGAACTAGAAGATTAATCTCTAGTGTTTTAACTCATAAGATTTATTGTTTTATATATTTATTTTAAATAAGTTTGAGTTGAGCCAATTTAAATATTCGGGTTGAGCCGATTTAAATATTCGGGTTGAACCCAGTAACCCGAAACTTAAATCTGAATATTACCCAAATTTAATTCGGGTCGGTGTTTTTTTGTCCTAAGTCCAACTTAAATATTAAAAACTTCAACTCAAGTCTTGTTTTTCCGAGTTTGAATTCAGATTGGCCCGCCCAAATTATACCCCTAGCTAGTTCCCTGCCAAAATTCAAATAATAAACTTAAAAATATAAATTCATTAGGACTGATTTAATAAACATACCATGGTTGTTGAATTAAGACCCAATATGCAAATATGGACCGTTTGTTGATGGTCCGGATTGTCCGAGTATCTTTGACTCTGAGATTTTCCGATACCCATCTTAGCTAGACCCGTGATATTTAAGTACCGATAGACAATGCTATATTTAGTACATAAACATTTTTTGGAAATTAAATTTTATAAATAATTACGAGTTAATCTTGATTTCAACCATAATTACCGTTTTTTTTTTTTGCAAATTAAAAAAAGGCCCATTTGGCTTTGTGGGTCAGCATTTCACGAGGAGGAAGGGAAGAGAAGTGTCATCCACCTGGCAAAGCCATAAGTTGCTGGGGATCACAATTCAAGTAAAATGACGTCACAGGTCGATCTGATATGAGCGCCCTATCTCTTGACAATTAACACCACCAAATTGACGCTATTACCCCCTCAACACCCGTCCCCAACGCCCAAAAAAAAAAAAAAAATCAATGACACTTGCATTTGGTATATGAAAATAGATCACGGGAATGCAAAATTCATTTTTATTATTATAGAAATATAGGATTAGTTATTCCTAAATATAGAGTAATATTATCCATAATTAGGGGTGTTTACCCTATCCTACCCTACTGGTAGGAAATATAGTCTTTCGTCTTTCTACTTAATATTTTGTGGAAGAATTTTTTTCTTAACCTGTCCTACCCGATTAATCAGGTAGGAAGTCGAGTAGAAAATCGGATAAACACTTTTATAACTATTAATTTTTGGATTATTTTAACAATTCAATTAAATAATATGCACAAATTTAATAACACAATAAATCAATAATACTAAAACTTAAAACAATTACAACAACAATTACAATAAAATATAAGAAAGTATGAACATCAATTTATCATAATTGTTATACAAATACAATAACAATTATTTTAAGTTTAAACCATATAAAACACATTAAAATCATAACTACTTTAATAGATCACCAGTTCATCACAAATTATATCACCTACAAAAAAAACAAATCCATGTTTTTGCAACTGAAACATTCACAATATTTATAATATAAATTATACCACACACAATACTCTTATAATTGCTAAAAAAATCATAAAAAATTTAAATGTATTTTTTGCGGGTAGGGTAGGAATGCGAAAATTGATGAATTATTCCTCATTCCTACCCGATTTAATCATAAGACCAAATTTTTTTTCACATTTCTATCCAATTTTTGTGGCTAGTCGTTCAGTAGGGTCGAATAAAGTAGAAAATTGCGATCAATTAGAAATTTGAAAACCCTCTATCCATAATTATCATGCTGCTTAATGATAAGTTTAAATTCATTGAGACCAAAACACCTAACCTCCCATCCCCGATCGTTACAATTATCTCTATTATTACCATTATCACCACCACCCTAATCCCACTTTCGCCATTACTATGGTCATCATTATCACCACAACAACAGAATCCTTTGAATCCCGTGTTTGTGGTCCAGAGTTCACGTCAAGTGTAAAGGTTTTTAGGTCTAAGTCTAAGGCCGGTAATTAGAGTCTAAGTTCTAGTTCTAGTTCCGGTAAAACGTAATAAGATATTGAATTGAAAACTATCAAAGTATAATTTAGCCTTTGTTGTATTACAAACAAGTGTTTGATTGCTACTTTGTTACAAACTAAAATTTATGGTCATAAAGCACTAATAGTAATATTTTGGTGTGATATATAAAATCTCTATCTTAACTTATCTGAATTTGATATTAAAAATCACTTTATATTAAATTTTTATCTCACCCAATTTTGATATTACTAAAAACCATCTACTAATAGGTTCACTTATTTTTCTTATATTTCAAACAAGTAATTACATGATAGGGTTAGTGAAACTTGTAGAATTTAATTAGATGGCATAATATATTTTATTTAAAAAAAATCAAATTTTTAAAATTTTTTTAAATAAAGAAGAATAACTTATTGAGCAGTCTCTACATTAATTATTTCGATTTATAAAATAGGACGAGTATAAAGATAAGGGTACAATACCACCAAAATTGTTTTGATTAATTTGTTATTATTGCTTGCAAAAATAATAAAATAATATAATAAAAAAGATATATATAAAAAGGACGAGATTGTCATTTCAGAATCCAAGCAACACCGTGTAGTAAAAACACGAGCGCCCGCATCAACAGTCATCTGGCGATATCTGAGAAATCAAAAAGCGTTCTGACCTTTTCCGTCCACTTTGCAATTCCAGACCGTCCTCTCTCTCTCTCTCTCTCTCTAAATCGTTTAGGCCTGAAATTTGAAGCTCTAAGTATCTCCCAAGCCTGTAAGTTCCTCAATTTATGTCTGTAATTTTCCGAATCTCTCAAATTTTTTTTTTTCTAAAATAGGAACCAGTTCAGGTGATTAACTGCTAATTATTTTATAATCGAATGATTCGTAGTTTTTCTTTTCAAATTTCAATTCACTTTCAGTTTTTTTTATCGAATCTGAACTCATTTCATGGGGAATTCCTATGCATTGCATGGTCCTTGCACTATCAGATCATAATACAATTAAAGTTCCACTTAATGATGCCAGACTCGGTAGTGACCAGCTGTTTGTTTCTTTATCTCGCTGGATTCTCTGTTCGCAACAAAATTCACCTCGAGCTTCTAGAGGAAGAAATGAAAGATGGAATTATTAGATACTAGCTGTCTGTAATTTTTCGTCAAAACAAAAGGAGCCCTAAATTTTCTGTATTTTTCTTTATACATATTATGCTTGGGGTATTTATTTATGCCTAATCGTGGGTATTTGTTGCAGAAAATTGAGGGGTTGGTGAGTTAGAAGAGATTTGGTAAGTGTTGGGATAAAAGGGTCTTGAAGGAGAGATTGGTTGTGGAAAATGGCGTGTAGGGGGTTTTTGGAGTGCCTATTGAAGCTCCTGAACTTTTTGTTGACTCTTGTGGGTCTGGCCATGGTGGGTTATGGGATCTACCTGTTTGTGGAGTTCAAAAGTGCATCTTCTGATGATACAACTCCGGCACCATCAAGTGAGGGGTTTGTGCAGCTTGGTCGGCCCATGCTTATGGTCTTGTCTCTTTCAAGCAGCAGCATTTTCGATAACCTACCCAAAGCTTGGTATCATTCCTATTTTTCTGAAATTAGTCTGGGTTATTGTTAGTTGGGTTGATCCTGATTCCTAAATCCTAATGTATAACTATTTTTATAGTTAATTGTTGAATTTGATTTCCAATGGGGCTGGGTTTTCGTGCTTAGATTCTTTAGTTGTTGAGTTAAGCACTCTTCTATGCTGCATTCGATTGCTGAAAAGAGGATCATCCGTATTTGTGAAAACTAGGAAAACAATAATGTTGTGGTTGTCTTGTTATTCACTCCTTGTAGAAAATTGGTTTAAACTTTGTTCTTTTTAGGGATTTAAAAAGGTTGATGTCTTAGAATTTCACTTCAAGCAAAAGACCAATTAGAAACCCTATTGTATTAGACCATCTACAGACCTTACCCAAATTTGAGTTAAAAAAAGGGATAAGAAGCTTGATTTGGTATAGACCTTTTTAATGGACAAATTCTTTTTTGTACTCAAATCTTTTTAAAAAATTACCTTGTTATCCCAATAGCTCTTTTTTAACACGAAATATGTATAGATGTATACATTTTTTTCGTAATTTATAGATTCCTATATGTACTATGATTGTAACAAAAGAAGAGAGAGAGTGTGTGTGTGTTTACTTGAAGAGTGGTTCACCGACAAATACAAAGTTAAAGCTGCGTGGAAAGAAGAGAGCATATTTTTTAGTGTTAAATTTTTGGGTCTAAGTTTTGAGTTTCTTGATTTGGGTTTAAAATAGGGTCTCCCTTCATTTGGTATAGGTTTGAGTATAAGACTGAAGAAAGTTTTTGACCTCGTTTTACCCTAATTTAAATTTGAGTCTAGAAAAGGGTAAGGATTGAAGATACTCTTAGGAGACAACCTATTTTGGGTCTATAAGTATATTATATAGACCATTTAGTTTCTCTTGGGGATTTTGGCCCCCAATTTTGGGCATTTATGTTTGGTTTTATTTGTTGATTAAAGAATTTTGTGTAATCTTCCTTTGTTTATAGTGAAACTTTGTTGTTGCGTTTCGCCCGTGGACGTAAACTTTTGAGCCGATCCACGTAAATTTGTGTTATGTATTTTTTTTTTTCTGTTTATTTGTTTGTGGCTTTTGTTTCATAACAAATTGGTATGAAAACTTTGGTTTTGGGATGACTACAATAAAATTCAAAGTAAAAAATTTTTGGTAATTTGAACAATTTTAGTCTACGACAGATCTAGATACATGACATTGCAATGACTGAATTGTTTGACGAAAATTCTTTATGTGATACTTAATCAACGTTGATGGAGATTCAATTAGTTTGCTATTATAAAGAAGACAATTGAGCAAGTTCACTTTTGTTTTGATGGTTTGGTGAACAAACAAGTCAAGGTGGAAATTTCTTATGAATATTTGTGATATTTGTATTCCTTCACGGCCACGGGATTTGTGGACAAGGTAGTTAATTCGTTTGCTTTTGTTTTGATGGCCTGATGGAAATATGGAATACAAGTCAAGGTGGAAATTTGTTGTAAGTGTCTTGTATTTCACTCATAGTAGGAAACTGGTTTGAACTTTGTTCTCTTTAGGAATTTAGAAAGGTGGATGTCTTGGAATTCCACTTCAAGTAAAAGATCAATCAGAAACCCTATTATATTGAAGTTAAAGTATTTTGAATCTATAAATAGAGTATAGACCATTTAGTTTCTCTTGGGGATTTTGGCCCTCAATTTTGGACATCCACGTTTGGTTCTATTCTCTTGAATAGAGAATTTTGTATAATCTCCCTTTGTTGATAGTAAAATTTTGTCGCTGCGCTTCATCTGTGGACGTAGGATTTTGAGTTGATCTATGTAAATTTATATTCTGTATTTTTCTATTTCATTCGGTTTGTTGATGTACTACCCAATGTTACCTGGATCGTGGGTTGCTTTGGTACGTGGTACGGGTACATAGTACGACACTTTCTTAGATATGCAATACGATGAGGGTAGATTTAGATGGTACAGTATTTTGGGTCGCAATTCGTTTTGGAAGTCTTATATAGATCGTTTTCACTAATATATAACATTATATATTACAGAACATTCATAAACACTAAGTTAGTTACCATTTATCTTATAGTGGTGTTTGATTTTCTATTATCTAAAACAATAAATATTTATAAATATACATGTAGTTAATTAATATGTATTTTATATTTATGCTACATGTTTTAAAGTGAATTGATTTAAGATTAGTATTACAATTTGGGGTCGTCTATTTTGGTAATCTGGATCGCGAACCCATCTCGTTAGGATCGATGTACCCAGTTTGTAGGTCGTTAAGGGTTTAGTGAATTGTGATAACAATGCTACCCTTTGATGACACTAGCATCTGTATCCACTAACCTTCTAATGTTATATACCTTGAGTGAGTTTGCCACCAATCTACTCAAAATTGTTGCTGAGTACCATATCCTTAACAATTTCCATGGTAGGGCTTTGTTCACAAACATCAGTTTTACATTTTCTTTTATGGGCTTTATCAATAAACATGAATATACTCATCAGCTAATCTTGTAGATTGTGAAATGAAAACTTCAGTCAACAACACGATGCACGAGTCATCCCTTATAGCAGTAGAAGAAAATCTCTGTTTTTTCCGTTCTACTTGCAACCGAGGCGGGATCTTTCTTTCTTTCTTCCTGAGATAACTGGATAAGTATCAGGGCTGGAATCTTGTGCAGACATTAATCAATTTATAGATAAATTGAAGGGGAACTAACTTCAATATCGGAAGTCTGGAACTACATTACCCCTTTCCCCCTTATAAAACCTCATAAGATACTTGACAATACAAGTGTCATTCATTCATGTGTTTGGATTTGGAATTTGGGTATTGCTAAAGAACCACCATCTATGGTATTTTTAGTATACTTAAATTCATGTATGCTAGGAATGTGAGATTACACCCCTTAGGTTGGAATTAGATCCCCTTTTCTCTTTGAAATTCTCATGCTTGTAGGAATGGGATTTCTACTTGCAACAGTGCATATCAAACATAGGAATTATACAAAAAATTGCAATGAGATTCTCATTGCTGCATTTGTATTTTATAATCCAAACTGGCTTAATGGTGATTCGATTCGAATATTCTTTACTAATGATGGAAAGTCTGTCCATTCTCATTTTGTGTATTTAGTATTGCTTTCTTTAGAAAGTTGAATTATAAGAAGGATCTCTTTTTGTGAGACCGAGGGAGTAAGCACTTTTGTGTGACTTTCATGAGGTTTCGTGTCAATTCCTTCTATTTTCACAGTTTGAGTTTATTTATCTGCTCATAATTTGAATGGTAATTTTAGGAATTTTTTTTTTACAATTTTAGCTACGGTTTTGGGCTTTGCAGGTTTATCTATTTATTTATTGGTCTTGGTGTAATGCTCTTCGTTGTATCCTGTTTTGGGTGCATTGGAACAGCAATGAAGAATGGATGCTGCCTGACTTGTGTATCCTACACTTCAATGGTTGTCACAGTGGTTGCTCTTATTTCCATATCACCAGAGTCATGATATCATGGCCTAAATATCTGTCGTTGGTTTTATTTACTTCATTTCTGTCAAGCATTCTCTACTGTTGGTTTTATGTGAGATGAAATCCTTCAAAATTATTAACTCGGATGCTTTGTGATATCATGAGCTTCTTTTCTGCCTCCTCTTCTCTGGTGATGATTGGATTCCTTAAAGCAATGCAGTATTCAGTATTGGTAATCTTATTGATCTTGGTGGAACTGGGATGTGCAGCTTTTATATTCTTTGACAAAAGCTGGAAAGACGTGAGTATTTTACAATAATGTTATGCACATTAAGATGGTATATTTGGTTATCGGATCAGTTGACATTTGCAGGATATTCCAACTGACAAAACTGGGGACTTTGATATGCTATATGAATTTCTGGATGATAACTGGGAAATTGTCAGATGGGTTGCTCTTGGGGCTGTTATTCTGGAGGTAAGCATAAGAGGAAATTCTAACGCCCGTGAGGACTTCTGATTATTTTTTTATTTATCTCAACAGAGTTACACCTGGTGTAAATTGAGAGCTACACTTTCCTCCATAAGTTTCTTGCCCAATCTATGGTTACTTATGGTATAAAGGATCATGTTTTAGTCTCTCTGTCAATATGAATAACACCTTTTACATTGTGATTGTGTCGTGGAAAACTGATTGGTATGGCGGGCATGTTGTTGATCTCGCACATTACTTGCATAACCTGATGTAATGCTGTCTGACCATGGGAATGAGCTCAAGCATCTATCTTTGTGGTTTGTTACCATAGAATAGTATCATTGATATGCCCTCTTGATTGAATTGGTTTATATGTTCTGGCTGCTGGGCTACTGCTCCGGAAGATTTGACTACAAATGTGCATCATATACCTTCTAGGTCTATGGAGGACTTACATTTTAGGATCATTTGTGCTGGCCTCTCATCAATGATATTTATTACGCTTTTTGCCTTTTACTATCCTGGTCAACTAAGGTCCATTCAAAGCATTGTCATCCATGTCCAATTGTCCAAACCTATATCTGGTTGCATTTTCTTTTTTCGTTTCTTTTCTCCTCTGTCTGTTTGTACCTGGTACTTGAGTTGTCTTGGGCTGTTGATTTCAAACTGACTAATTCATAGGCTTACATGTGATGATTAATTATTCTCTGAAGTCTCTGGACTTGTGTGTTATCATCTGATAATAAGACAAATCATATTTTTCATTGTCTCTGGACTTGTACCCATGGTGTTGTAGGTACCTCGTCTGTGAGCTTCTCTGTGTATCTTTTAGTTTTGGACTTAGTGATCCATATTGCTTACATGTGATGGCTGTTCTCTGAATCCTCCCCTACCCCATCACAATAAAGTATAAAAGCATAGTAGTAGGTGGAATTTTAATAATAACCAACCCCATCCATTGGAAAGAAAAAGGTAACACCGAATAGAGGAAAGAGTGAGATGGTTTTTGTTGTTCCCAAGTAGTGAAGACCATTTGCTTGACAAATGAAGTGGGTCAATGGTTGAGCTGTGTACAGAAAAAGCGTCTTAGCTACTTGAATCAGTCAAAAAATCAGTAAGTCCATCAATTTGTAGTGGACTAGTCTCAGCAGGCCATAAAATAGTCTAGTAGCGGGTGAGGAGAGTCAGTGCTATGGTGGGCACCTTGGTACACAACGCGAAGTAGCTCCGCCAACATAGCTCGAGGTGCACACAATCAACTCAGGAGTAACTTTTGCTTGTCAGAAATATTAGAATCACCTTATTGCACAGAAGTGGTGGACCTTTAAACCTATGGTCAATTGAGACCTAAAAAAACAATGCTTAATTGAGTTGTTTGGTGCATTTTCCTTCTTTTTTTTGTCTAATGTTTTTTGTTTTACTGATTGCCCTTGGAATTCCAGGCCCTGGTGTTCTTGTTAGCTCTTTTGGTAAGGGCTGCTAATAGGCCAGCAGAGTATGACAGTGATGATGAGTATATAGCTGGCCCAAGGCAACAAATTCAGCAGCCATTGATCAACAGCAGATCTGCAGTTCCAGCCGCAAGTGTACCTGTTGCTGGTACCCTTGATAATCGTCCCGGCAGAAATGATGCTTGGAGTACGCGAATGAGGGAAAAGGTGCAATCTGCCTCTATAAAATGTCTATCTAAGTAATATTCTGGTTGCTTTGTGCAGTAGTAGTCCATCGTCTTGAGGAATTTATTATAGCACGGGAGTTTTGATCAGTGACAGTTACATTGACTTTCCAAGAAGTTCTTAGCGAAACCAACTCTTTCTAATAACCAGGCTGTCTGATTTTGTATTGTTCAATATCTTATGGTTCATTCATAAACTAACTGCATGCTGCTAGATACTTGTATGCCATCGGGTGGCCATATAATTGATGGAGTACCAATTGGGTACCCCTGTTGATAGGATATATCATACCCAAGTGGTAACCATATTGTTTTATTGTATCTTCCAGTGTAGCTTGGATTTCTAACACTTGATGCTCTTTTGATTTTTTTCATTTCCTGTATATAAACCAGTATGGGCTTGATACTTCCAAGTTCACATACAACCAGCAAACTGCCACACAGCCAGCCGAGGAAAGGAGTCGGTGCACCATCATGTGATAATCTTCGTGGTTTTGCTCAAGTGTGAAATTGGGTCCAGTTCTGGAAACTGACTCTCTCATCAGCTGGTGTGAGAACTTTGTTGTATGGTCAGATTACAGTAGATCTGCGTTTCTGTTAAAAGAGTTTGTGTACAAAACACAATCTTCAGGAGCTTTACTTATTTTCTACTGCCCACTCTGATTTCTTCTTTGAAAGACATCTCTTCTTTTGGATGTATTACCATTTGGTGTCTAAAATTGTATCCCACGGTTGAGTTCGTTGTGGACTTGTGGATGGTGGTTGCGGTGGTTGGGATTTTGTACAACGAAAGAAAGAACCAGTGAGTTTGCTTAATCCTTACAGTAAAAGTTCAGCTGTAGGTTGTTAGTTCACTGTGTCTTATTCAAGTTGTGTCTTATGTTTTGCTAATGCTTATGCTTGTATTCTGATCAGTGGCTTGTGATTCATATAATAGCATAACTACATTTTGTGTAGTCAATGCTTGATAGTTGAGACGAGGTTCAATTGAGTTGAGTTATATTCCGTGCCTTGTTGCAGTATGAAACTTGTTGACGCGACCTGTTTATCACAAGTCGTCTTGATTTGAAAACATCGTTTGAGGGGATGTATGGCGTCGAAAATCCCAAATTGGAAAGGATTAAAAGGCAAACTATTAGTGGTTGATTGGGATTTGGAGAGGGTTTCGTGCTTTTTAGTTGCGGTCATATTCAACTTATAAGTGGAAGTGGCCTACTTGTATGGAGTTGTGCAATCTTTCATTCTCTCTTGTTCCTTTGTTCCCCTTCTGATCTTTTAACCTATGATGTCGAATTACAATGTGCGTCTTGTTAACATTAGTAGTCATAAGAACGTACATGCATGTACACGAACTTAATGTAGATGCATGACTCATCGTGAACAATTGATCATATGCCATAACTTTAGTCACACCGAGTTAAAAATATATATTTTTACTAATCGGGTTTGATGAGTTAACTTGTTTATCGCCCAAGTTAGTTGATATTGAATTTACATCGAGTTCTTTTCTGTGGATCTTACCACTCATGTTGAGGTTAAACTACCCAAAATTTTTTTTTTTTCGCATTTTTACCCAATAAATTATTTGTTAATTGAATTTTGGGGTGATAAATCGGTGTTAAGAAGTACCACTTGATTCCTCGTGATCCAACCTCTTGATAAATCTGACGTGTTTGTCACTGTTGCATTAAATATTTTCTCATTGATTGATTGGGTGTTGGGGGATTGTATGCCTGTCAAGACAGGAAACTGATTTGTTTAGTGAGTTATATATAATGGGTGACTCACCACTATGTTAAAAGGTTACAATTCTTCCCAACCAGCTTTGCCCTCTATATAATTATACCTATTTACACTTTAATATTCGGATGCATCCTCGATGTATAGAAAGCAAAGTTTGATTATGATACCCAAAAAAAAATTTCATACTGTACCACTTCACATGTTATTCCTGGAGTCAAATGTAAATCCAAACTGTGTACCTTTGAATGAGTGGGGCATATGGTTGATAATCGAACCGATCTTTACGAGTTTGAGTCGAGCTCATTTTTTTAAACAAGTTTAAAAAATTATTAAAGCACAATTCGTTTAAAAAACGAGTCGAATCTCACACAAGTTGAATTCGAATAGCTTGACTATTTTATATATAAACGGGTTGAGCTTTGCGAGCTTGATTTGAATCTTTTAGACTTATTTTTTAAATAGGTTTAAAAAATTGTTCAAGATTAATTTGAACATGAATTGAACTCGAGTGAGACTTTATTCAAACTAAACCCGTATATGTTAGTTCAATTATCACGTTCAAAAAAGTTTGTAGACCCCACAAATCCAAGGTTGCATAGTCATTTTGAAATCCCAAATATGAAATCTTGCTCTATTTCTTCAGATTCATTGGCCCTGGCAGAGACGTTCCTATTTTCGTCACTTGAGGAAGGTCGGTGAGTGGATTTCATTGTCAATGTTTTCTGCCTTGCGAACCTCCTCTTCCCTCTCTGTCTCTCTATATATATGGATTTGTGGTCCAGACATTTCAGAAAGTAACTGTGAATGAGGTTTATCTTCTCCATTATTTCTCTCCGTCTGTCTCTGTCTCTGCCTTTGCCCGGTATAACATTTTCGCCTAGGACTTCAAATTAGATTGGGCCGCCCCGCCCTTGTTACGACAAAAAAACCCCTATACAAGAGCTGCAATGTGGCCGGTTTTGGTTCCGATTCTCTAAAAAAATTGGTATTTTCATTAGTTCTAAACTGGCTTCGAGCCTAGCAAATTTGAACATTCTTTTTGATACTCATCAGCTACTTCATCAGTTTCGTTTAGAGTTCTGTTAAGATCACCAATTTCAATGTTTAACTTCATTTGACTGGATCTAAAAGATGGTCATCTAGAGTTCTTCACTGGGAGAGGCTTATGTGAAGATTTTTCAATATCAAAGAGGTAAAGTACCACAAGCGAGTAAAGCGAAGTTTGCTTAAAATTATATTAGTGTTGGCCTAAAAATATATTGGATACCATGTAGAAGGATATGATACCGTGTCCAAAATAAACTTTGACTGTTAATTTTGATTATGAATTGAGTGATTTATAACTATCGATAGAAAAATAATAAAGTAATAAAATTTTACACTTAATGTGTTTTTATTAGATGAAAAGTGGATATATAATACCAAAAAAATAATAATATTTTGGTAGCCATATAAAACTCTTGAATTGATACCCTAATGTTTCGTTTGATAGGAACCGATGATAAGTAGGAAGGATAAAAAGTAGGAATGATGCATTTTTTTTTTTTTTCTTTTTTGTTTGGTTGGATGAATGGAAAATAAAAATGACTAATTTTTTTTTTTTTTTGTGCTGACTAAGATTAGAGGTGACAATCGAGTTGTATCTTATCAGATTCGTGTTGAATTATTACGGGTTTATGTCGAATATTAGTCAAACCTAACTCAACTTATTTAACTAATTGTGTCGTGTTGAGTTGCGAGTTGACCTGTTTATTTTCGTATCGTGTTCGTGTTGGTGTTCGCATTCGTGTTGACCTACATAAATTTTGAATAAAAAATTTAACGCTAATATTTTATTTTTATTTAATTGACTCTATGTTAATTTTTTTTCTACAAACTAAAAATTAACTTAAATAAATATAACAATAATAAGTAAAAATATCTTTTTTATAATTATGTCAATGCTTAATAAATAGTTACAAATAATTAACATTTTATGCCTATAATATTAATTAAACATGTTAGTTCATTTAATTTCATGTTATCATACAAACAGAAAAAATACAAAAAGTGTTTATTTTTAAATAAACGGGTTGATGTTGTCAATTTTGAGTTTAACTGATTGAACTGAATATGAGTTTTTTATATTTTTTGTTCACGTGTCAGGTCATTTTCAAGTTCGTATCCAGTTATAATCAAGTTTGTGTCATAAAATTCGTGTCAAATTCGAGTGGTGTTATCATGTTGAATCGAAAATTTTCACCCCTAGTTAAGATAGAAAAAACATTTTTTTTTAAATTTAAAATTTATTTTTAAAGAATATATATAGACAAATCTCAACATAAATAATTAAGTTTTTATCCACTTTCCTTTTTATTTGGGAGAGATTAATTTTGGTGAGTTGAAAGAAAAATTAATCTATCCATTTTTAGTATCTTTCTTCCTTATTAAATATAATATTTTATTTATCTTTTTAATTTTTAATTTTTCTATTTTTCCATCGAACAGAGCATAAAACTTATCCTCCAAGTACACCTCTTGCTAGCAGTAACCAGAATGGTCGTACCTGCCAACTAGGTGGTGGAATCCAGGGTGTCAATCAAAAAAAGTCAGTACTATGATATAACAAATCACCCAGATGCAGACTTGTATTAGATGCACAGCCGCAAGTAAGAAATGGGCTACTTACTATATGTTCTTGTGCCGACCAACGTTTACTGCTAAGAATAACGATCCCTCTCCCCTGTCTAAGTTGTGTCCTGTTTGTTCTCTCCCATGAAAGGTACAGCTATTGTACTGCACTTGTCCACGTGGGCAAATAAATAAAACCTTCTGTTGAATATAAACATGTCACACAATGAATTACATTGTAAGGAACCCAAACTTTCTCACCACTTTCACCTTAAATTCTTTTTCTATTTTCATGGCTCTGATAGAAAGTCACCTTCACAGGAACCTTGAAACAGAGGGTTTTACTGTTTCGAAAAAGTTGTAGTTCATCATCCTCAAACTCCATGTATGATGTGCTCTGGCCCCAACTTTGCATGGCATTTTCTTTTGATTAAACTTCATGGTCATTTTCATTACCCCTATGCTTCAAACTTTCTCTCTCTCTCTGTACTTCCACATTTATGTATTACCGTTCTACCAATAAGTCTACGGCTGTTCCAAAAATAATCCTGTTTTTTTTTTCTCAATACCACTTGACTTGGAACTTATATTTTAGTCTCATATCTTGATTTGTTTATTTGGGTCGTACAGTATTTATGGCTCTGTTAGCAAGTTGGGGTGGGGAGTTTGCAAATTTTAGATGTTGATGGTGTGATGTATTACATGAAATCTATTTGTTAGGCGGTTTGTTTCTGGCTAGTCCCAATCACTGTTAATGTTTTGGCTTATTCACTGTAGGCTTATCTTCTTACTTCATCTATAAAATTTGCCAAAGGGCTAAAAGCTTAACTATAATTGGTGGGTCAAGTTTGATTTGGAACTATTATAAAATATTTGTACCGAGTTGATTATTTGATTGTTTCATCATGCTTTTGAAAAATTAGCATATGGGTTGATGTAATTTTTTATGTTTATCTATAACTTCTATCATGCATTACTTTTTTGTCAACAAATTCAACAATTCAAAATCAATCTAACTTGCATACGTTTTCTTGGTGCCAAAGATATATATTTTTTTATACAGTGGGTGTCAATGGCTTACGTTGCCCACTACCCTGCTGGAAGTAATGGGTGATGCACCAGTTGATTTAGAACTATAGATTAGTTATAACTGAAAGTGATATTCAAGATATTCAAAGAGCTCTATTTGTTGGATCAATTGTGTTTCAATAATGTCATGCCGCTACATTTCCATGAGAAAAGGAGGGATCTGTGAGGACCATTGAGTATTTTTCTGCAAGTTGAGGTTATGGATGTCCATTAAGCTCGACCATTACTTTTTATGTCCTTTCTTTCTGGTCCTAGTACGAATCTTCTTCGCATTCGGCATCAACATACCTATCACCGCCACTCTATTCTGATGTCCTTAAAAACCTCTTAATATATGAAACTCAAACAACACCGGCAATTATGCGTCTGTGTTTCTTGTTTGTATAACTAAGAACAACTCTTGCACGATTCGTCGTGTTCTTAAGCACCCACTCTGTATTTTTGACTTGGGACAATGAAGACCCGGAGAGCAAAGCGCTCTGAGGTATGCTTGAATGTTCTTTGGTACTTCTTTGGACATGTTTCATGTGATATTAAGGTTGGCGATGTGTCGTTTACAACTATTTGTGCAATTCGTTTGTTTACAGGCCTTTTGGCCATCCATTGTAATGAAAAAATGGCTAAATATTCAGCCAAAGATGTCTGATTTTAGCGAGGATGAAGTTGACACAGAGACTGAGAGCGAAGATGATGGTATGAATTCCGTAAATTCGCCATGAAAATTCATTTCTTCATGTTTCTGTGCTTGACAATTATGTGTCTTATCGCCCTCCAGCTTACTCTCTTAAAGATGAAAAAGTGCATGATGGTGAGGATCAGGTCTGTAGAGCCCAGTGGAACCAACGTGCATGCCCAACTCAAACCTCAGGCAGTACAAAATTTCTGTTTTAGTGATTTAGTCTTTGTCATAATGAAATGACGACTTTATTTATTGCAATATAACCTTTGAAACTACTGAAACATATAATTGCGTCTTTGCTAGTGCTTGAATCTTAGTATTGGCACCTACTTTTGCTTAGGAAATTTTTGCTTCAAAAAAGCTATATCTGCACAAAACTTTCAGCCATGTGTTGTTCTTTCTTAGTTTAGTACTTGTGAGCTTTGTTTGCACTTTTAGTCGATAGTTTAAGCTACATATTTCTTCAATACAGTGCATATTGACAAATTTTTTTGGTAACATAGTGATATTTTAGATGAAGCAAGGAACTTTTAATGTTTCTATGTTTCCACCAATCAGCTTGATAAAAAATTCAAAATACTTTCCTTTTAGTACCTTTTGTTGTATGATGACCTGATGAATCTCAAAGCTATAGCTGTCCATCTATGTTGACAATCCTCTTAATGCAGGGACACAGCTGAAAGGCTATTCGCTAAGACACAGGAGAGGAAAATCGGAAACCCTACGTGTTCAATACATAAAAGCAAAAGAAGTGAGGTTTGGCTCTAAAATATTCGTATTGGAATTCTGCCACGCTGGTAAGAAAACCCCAGTTACTCATGACTAGATTGTAATTCTTGTCCTCATGCAGGGTGACAATAGGCACTTGGAATGTTGCTGGAAGACTTCCTTATGGGGATATTGAGATCGAGGAGTGGGTTTCTATGGAAGTACCAGCAGATATTTATGTTCTTGGGTAAGTACTCTGTCAAATTGGTGATACCGCTCTGAGACTTACATGAGCACTACATCAGGAATTTTTTTCATTACAGGTGAAACAATTAGAGTTCTGAGATGCATGACTACTTACTTGATGTAGAGTCCATAATGCGTCTGGTATCCTCACCGCATATGCATGCCATCTTTTACTGATACGTATTGATTAGGCTGTAACTCAGCTGATTTTTCTTTCGATGGCTGTTGAAATGCCGTGCAGGATTATTGTTGATGGCACATTAAGTATACTGAACATCTGAAAATGTCGAATAGAATTTCTCTGTAAATTACACATAGAATAAGTTTTTTCAATCAAATAAGTATTATAGTACTATTTCTATTCAAATAAAACAGTTGAACAAGAAATACGGTAAACTTAAACAAATCCATCATCAAGAATATGAAGCAAAGCATTTCAAATATACTCTTCCACTTAAGAAAGTAGAAAAAAAACTTTAGTGGCTGCAAGTAGCTTATGTTCAAGGCAACTCGCTCCTTCCAGGACCATGAAATTTCAAATCAACACTTTTTTAGCAATGGTAGTGATGAGACTTTTCTTAAATGCTCCATGATGAAGACACGTGTCATCGGTATTACCAAAACACTGTTACTAAGATCAAGCACCATCGGCGCATAAAGGTCCTCGCCCCCGAGGTATCCATCATATAGGATCATGCATTCAGTATGTTTTACAACCGACACGTGGCCTCGGTCTGATATGGTACCTCGGTCGGTATACCTCCCTCGGTTCCGAGATGAGCCTTTCCTCGGTGCCGAGAGGTACCCTGTCCTGGACGTTTCCTCTACTCCAGGATAAGCTATTGACGTACAGGTCATTAGCCTAGGCTAGTCTAGGCTATTTATCATGACCTCATCTTACACAATTAGTGTCAGAACGTACTGGAATGCAGGGGTCACAGCCAATAAGGGATGGACGCGTGGCATATGATATCACATCGAAGACAGAGAAACCGCATGCCGTTGCTGACACGCGACTTGGGAAAGCAAACTATTAATTACACCATTCCCTTGATGAGACCGCATTCAATGCGGTAAGACTCGGAAATGAAAGGCAATAAATGCTCCTAATACAGAGCATTTATTGCATCCTCCCTGAGAGGAGTACATTGTACCGTCGGCATCCCGATGACCCAACATTGATTGCTCGGGACCCCGAGCAGTGAAGAAGAGAAGACATTCCTTATCAGAATCAGTGCGCACACTGCCTGTACCTAATGATCATCTACTGACTACACTGACAGCAATCATGAGCTTTTGAGGTATAGATACTCCTTGCAAAAGGCAAGACGGGTATGCAACAAAAAACTCTTTACTACAATACACACTCAGTGTTTTCTCCTTCCTCTCTCTTTCTCAAAGACTGACTAGATCGTCGGAGGGGATACGCCGAAAAACACTCCGGCGCCCTTCTAACTTGTTCTTCTTTGTTCCAGGAACCTCTTTCAGCCTTACTGGATCGTTCTTCCGTTCCCAGGGTCTCCCATTGCCGTTCCAAGTTACCACCGGACCTCGCAGGCTGTTCCAAGTAGAGTGTTTGGTCACTCAACTGGCTCACTCGAGTTCACCAAGGGAGAGATCTGTTCTCGTTTTTTATATTGTGCAGGATCTTGCACGCACAATCTGGCGCCGTCTGTGGAAAACGACTAGTTTTCCTAGTTTTTTCTCTATAAAGAACAGTGACCATGGTGAACACTCGACAGAAAGGGAAAGGACCCCACCAAAGGAGTCTCGAGTTACAAGCTCCCTGTCATCACGGAGGAAGGGATCACACCAATACGAATAAAAGTGCCTCTACTCGATCAAGAGGGGTAACCCCTCAAACCAGTATGAGAATCAGGTCAGGGGGATTAGCCCCCTTGGCTCGTCAGCTGGCGGAGGTGATTGAAGAAAAATTTGGCGATAGATTACGTCAGCTGGAAAAGGACAATGTAAACGTCCTAAGCCGGCTCAACGAGTTTGCCGCCTCTGGCGAAGGATCGAGGGATTCATTCCTGTCTCGTGGGCTTCCCGCCCGGGAGGCAAAAACGAAGGATCTAAGAAATCACCTAAACAACAAAGCAGAAAGCTCTAGGGCCCCAAAGCGACCTAGAGCCGGCGAACATCATCATGACAACCATTCAAGGAAAGCGAGGCCATTGACCCTGGACGACCTCCGGCAAGGTTCGTCCAGACGGAGGAAGGGAGATGAATCCGAGGAGGACTCAACCCAATCCACGCGACGCCCAGGAGATGAGGGGCTTACCGATGAACTCAAGGACTTCAGAAGGCGTCAGGGAAGAAATTGATCTCAGAGCCCGGTTAGACTCCAGGAAAAAGGTAAGGCTGTCCAGGATGAGGCCGAGGACGAAGTCATACAATCACCCTTTACGAGGGAGATCAGTGAGATGGAGGTTTCAAGAAAGTTTGTCGTGCCGCGGTTCAAAACTTATGACGGGTGGTCCGATCCCGAAGCCCATGTCAGGCAATACAAGCAGATGATGTCCCTCTATCATTCGGACCAACGGTTTCTCTGCCGAGTGTTTCCTATGAGCTTGGAAGACTCTGCGATGAAGTGGTTCGAGGCGCTTCCCCCCAACAGTATTGGGTCCTGGAAGGAATTGACTAAGCAGTTCCTGACTCGATTCATTACGGGGAGTAAGCGCCCCAAAGACATTGGATCATTGCTGACCCTCAGACGGAGGGAATCCGAGACTCTTCGCCAATACGCCATCCGATACTGGGAAGAGGTTAATGAGATAGAAGGCTGCTCGGAGGTCATAGCAGCATCATCTTTTCAGCTCGGCTTGGCAAGGGACACGGAACTGTACCGATCCCTGACCAAGAAGACTCCCTCGGACATGGGGGAACTAATGGCCCGGATAAACAAGTACTCGAGGGTTGAGGACGAGATGGGAAGCAGCAAAGGCCGAGCCCTCCAATCTAAAAGAAAAGAGAAGGAGCGGGAAGATATTCCCCGAAAGGGATTGCTACCCCCTCCAGGGGGTTCGTCCAGAGGAGTTCACACTATTTTCAAGGAACCCATCTTCAAGTTGCTCCATAAAATCAAGCACGAGCCGTTCTTCAAATGGCCGCCCAGGATGCAGAGCGACCCCTCCACCCGTGATCAAAAGGTTAGGTGTTCCTATCACCGGGATTTCGGGCATCGCACCGAAAGCTGCAGGGTGTTCAAATCGTTCTTGGAAAGCTTGGTCCGAGACGGATATTTGAAAGAGTACATAGAGCCCAGGCCAGAAGAGAGACGAGCCCTTGCCCCGACCGAGGAACCGGACAACATCATAGATGTCATCCATATATGTCCCCTGGATCGCCCCACGTCCAAGGAACTCGAGTCCGACCTCAAGAGGGTAGCTTTTACGAGGAAGGTAGCCGAGGGTGATGTAGGGCCACCAGGTAAAAGGGCCAGGACGGGTGAGCTTGGCATTACATTCTCCGACGCGGATTTGACCGGCGTAGTGATTCCCCATAATGACGCCCTTGTCTTGACCCTAAGGATAGGGAAATTCGATGTCAAAAGAATTTTGATAGACTCTGGAAGCTCCTCGGAGGTGATGTACTTCGAAACTTTGAAACGGATGGGTCTTGGCACCAAAGACCTCACCAAAGTCAGGACACCCCTCATCGGGTTCAATGGCTCATTCGCCCTGCCCGTGGGGAAAATCACATTGCCAGTTGTCACTGGTCCCTTTATCATCGACACCGAGTTTGTTGTGATCGATACAGACTCTCCCTAGAACGTGATTATGGGGCGAACATGGCTGCATGCGTTGGGAGCGGTGCACTCCACTTTCCACCAGAAATTGAAATTCGCCACGCCAGAAGGTATCATGGAGATCCGGGGGGACCAAGCGTCCGCGAAAAACTGTTTTTATTCGGCCGTTCGAGCCGGGGCGGTCAGCCAGGAGAAGGAGCGAGCATCAAAAGAGATTATGGAAAAATAGCAATTACAGTCCGGGCGTCCAGGAATAGATGACCCCCGGATAGACCCAACTGAGCGGTCGGTAGAAGACCTTCGGAAGGTGCCCTTGATAGAAGGAGAAGAAGAGAGGTATTTCCTAGTTGGAACCTCGATGCCCACAGCCGAACAAGAGGAGATGATCGAATTCCTAAGGAAAAATACAGACGTGTTCGCGTGGAACGAGATGGAAATGACGGGGGTAGATCCCGAGATAATCATGCACAGGCTGCATGTTGACCCGTCGCACAAGCCAGTCAAACAGAGGCCACGACGCATGGCCCCGCATCACACCAGCACGGTCAACGAGAAAATCGACAAACTCCTGAAGGCCGACGCCATTCGAGAGATACAATTCTCAGAATGGCTATCTAATACGGTGTGCGCAAAGAAGAAAGGGGGGAAATGGCGTGTTTGCGTAGATTTTACAGATCTGAACAAGGCATGTCCCAAGGATGACTACCCTCTGCCAAAGGTGGACCAGCTGGTAGATGTCACAGCCGGATATGAACGAATGGACTTCCTGGATGCCCGAGCAGGATATCATCAGATCCCTCTCTATCCCCCGGATCAGGAGAAGACTGCATTTATCACTCCAAAGGGAGTTTAATGTTACAAAGTGATGTCGTTTGGACTAAAAAACGCCGGGGCAACGTACCAAAGACTGATAAATCGGATGTTCAAAAAGAAGATCGGCAACACCATGGAGGTCTACATAGATGATATGCTGGTAAAGAGCAAACGGAGTTGTGATCATCTAACAGATTTGGCGGATACCTTCTCCACCCTTAGAGAGTATGGGCTAAAGCTGAATGCGGCGAAGTGCATTTTTGGAGTGGAATCAGGTAAATTCCTCGGATACCTGGTTAGTCAACGGGGAATCGAAGCCAACCCAGATCAGATTCAAGCGATCCTGGACATCCAGAGCCCCCGCACTGTCCGAGAAGTCCAGAAACTCACAGGGATGCTGGCTGCATTGAACCGTTTCGTCTCACGCTCCTCGGACAAATGCAAACCCTTTTTCGGAGCAATCAAGAGTGCTGGGAAGAATATGTGGAGCTAGGGGTGCGAGGACGCCCTGACTGGAATCAAAGAATACCTAAGGACTCTTCCAACCT